ATAAAGTATATTATATCACATACAAATACATACACACACACACACACACACACGCACGCGCGTGCGCGTATGTTCTCACGTTAATCATCTTGATTCGTATCTCTCACTGTGATGTTATTGCAGGTTATACGATATATATATCTTCCCTCTCTTTCTCTGAACCTAACGATTCAATTCGTATTCCCCTCCTTTCTCCCTCTCTCTCTCTCTCTCTCTCTCTCTCTCTGCCCATCGCGACTGATTACCACTAGTTTTCCCGGTTCAGGCAGAGAAATGATTTTCTCTCATTACACTCTCGTCGCGATGTCAATCATTTGACCCTCGTTGCTGCTGCGGTAGCTCACCTAATCGCCTAATCGTATAATCCGCTCCAACAAATCAATTCGTATCCGCGGCCAAAAGCGGCCGCTTCACTCTCTATAGCTTCTACCTGGTAACTACGCTGCTGACATCGAGATGCGGAATTTTGCGCGAATTTTGCCCCAATTCATTCGCACGGACTCATAATACATTTTGATGCGAAACGACGTCGAAGTTCCAAATTCGGTCGACCGATGATTGTGCGCGCTGCGTATCCGTCAAATACTAATTTCGAATCACTCACGAATCCACAATATTCAATTTGCACTCTTCGACAGAAAGCGACGTCGAACAATACGACGGATATAGAGGACACAACAGCGTTTATTTCTCACGAGAAATGCAGTCATGGACTGTCACGAACATCTTTAAATGGGCGTCCGATTGTAACAAACGACACGTCCATAAGCAACGTATGTGAATTGGGCTATACAGTCCAAAACTCAACATATAAAAAGTTGCTCGATGCTGTGCAACTCGTTTGCAACTCAAAATTCCACTTCTCCAAAGACACACGTGATAATAGAAAGATCTTCAAGAAATCAGCCACGCGCGAGGTTTGATTGGCAGTCGCGAATTCGCGTTGCACAATTTGCGCATTATCGATCTGCTCGCGATCAATGCGGCACGCGATAATCACTCGATCAACGCTCGTCGCGGCTATGTCGAGCCAAAGGAAAAAGCTTTCGCGTAATACCGCTTAATACCGACGACGGCGCAGTCGTTCGATTATGAATCTCCGATTTGACAACGCGTTATTGACACAAACGGTTATCGATCTACTGCCTCTCTCTCTCTGTCTCTCTCTCTCTCTCTCTCTCTCTCTTGAAGCTAGATACTCCATGCGCGCTAACGGCGCGGGTAGGTGACGGGGCAGGGTGGATAACCATGGCTCACTATACCATAAAGTTGCCGTCATTGTTTCAAGGCGCGACGCGGGTATAAGTACATACATACAGCATGTACATACGGCCGGCTATCAATCGGCCCTTTCGCGCGAGACACTCACCTCGTAAATTTTCACCCTTTGACACGCGCCCAATACGAGGAGAGCCCCCGCAGCCGGCAGGAGGTGATCGGCGGCGGGGACCGACGATGGCGGTGTGCGCGCTCGTCGGCGCGACGCCCGACAAACCCGTTGCCGTAGTAGACGCTTAACCCCTCGGGATCTGCAGGACGTTAATGAAATAACACGGGAATTAGTCTCGGACATTACCGACAAACTATGTCCATTACCGCGCTCCGCGAGCGTATAGAGCGGCGCCCTACGACGCTGAAGGCCGGGCCGTTCGGAGGGCCGCTGCTGCTGCGAACGGAACGAATCGGGAAAAAAAGGAATGAGAAAAAATCTGTGTAAATAGTAATTCTCATAATTTTCTACGCGCAGAACGCGCGGCCTGTGCCCCTTCATCGACGGTACTTTTGTGTCTTAACGGTTAACATAGCCCTCGTTTCAAGGAGCAGGTCTCATGTGGTGGGTGGTGTGATATGATGATATGATATTTTTCAGTTTCACTCCCCGCAAACAAAAGAGTTGTTGACAATTTTCTTGTCTCCTGTGTTGCAAATCTGTTTGGAAGAAATTGCGAGAAATTGCTTATTATCCAATCCTGTATAAATCACTGCTCTCTGTAAAATAGTTACTTACCGGTTGGACAAGCTCGATAGAAATCGAGTAGAACGCGATTTTCATGCCGATCGATTGCCATCGAAGATGCAGCCGAGCACAAGACTCTATCTGTTGCTGGTTGGCGCACATCGTGGCACTCGTTGCGACACTTCGTGTACGCGCATACACACGTGCACGCACGCACATTCCGCGAATACGCGCATTGCACGTGTGCCGTTGCTGAGCTTTCAAGCGAGCGCGCGTAAGTCGCTCAAATTGGTACGGATTTCCAGCCCAACACCTCAATTGTCCTCGGTAAAGAGTGCTTCGCGGGCATACATGAATTCACGCCTCAAACACACGCGCGTCGTTGTTGTCCCTTCTTTCTCCTCCATGCCTCTAGCCCTCTCTTTCTCCTCCTCCACCATCTACTCTTCCTCCTCCTGCTCCTCCTTGTGCTACGACACGCTTCCTCTGCGTTGCTTTTCTCTCAAGTCTCGCTCCCCTCTCTCTTTCTCTCTCTCTCTCTCTTTCTCTCTTTCGCACTCGTCATATGGCCGTCTCCTTCTCTCTGTCTCGCATCCCTTCCTCGTTGATGCCTTGCCTCACTCGCGTACATATTTACTACCCTTTCTCTCATCCGTTCATCCCTTTGTTATTCAATACACACATGCTCATGTACACTCATATTTCTCTCTCTCTCTCTCTCTCTCTCTCTATATATATATATATATATATATATTTTTTTTTTTTTCATGTCAAACGCGTAACATTGTCATCCATAATATACATGTGCCCTTCATTGATTACTACTAGGCGATATCAACATCGAGGTTCACTCAGAAATGACCATGTCCGAGCTCGTAATGCGGTGAGCTCTTCCTCGAAACCGCGAGGAAATTCGCTTACCGTCTCGAGGTCGACTCGAGGACCTTTCGATGGAAATCGTACCTCGAGAACTGACTATCGAGAAGACACGCTCGAGCAGCGTGTTGAATGGCCTGACGTGTCCCGTCCATCCATCCGTCCGTCCGCCTGCACACCTTCGGTCGTGTAAGAGCGACCCGTGGAGGACGCCTTTGAAGGAGTAACCGCAAATCCTAGTATAATACTAATAGGGCCATAATAGGGTCAATAGGGCTTAGCCGCGCGACGACAATAAGATCTTGTCAAAATACGCTGGGTAACACGAGCCTAGGAAGCGGATTTTTCTCAATGCGAGGCCTGCCCGCCCGTCCCCTCTCGTCCACCCTCTTTCCTTCCTGAACGTCGACCGGCACGAGAGAGGGAGAGAGGGAGAGAGAGAGAGAGAGAGAGAGAGAGAGAGAGAGAGAGAGAGACGACAGCACATTATTATCGGGGGTTTTCAAAAAATTTGAAACCTTCCAGCCGGGCGCGCGCGATTGAGGTTTAAGTTTCATCACGTTCGACGGCCGTGAAAGGAAAAACGCGAATGGGGAAAATGCCAAAGAATGTTGGATCGAGCCGGTCGTTGCACACTCTGTTCGGATTCCAAAGTGAACAGTTCCAAATGGTGCGCACGATACGTGCGCGATATCGCGCTGAATGCAAGCTCGATTTCCGACGAAACGTCTTTATTTGGGGTGGTTTCCGTAGCGTAGCGCGTGTGTGTGACACGATGACCTCTCTCTCTCTCTCTCTCTCTCTCTCTCTCTCTCTCTCTCTCTCTCTCTCTCTCTCTCTCTCTCTCTCTCCCTCTCTCTCTTTCTCTCTCTTTTGCTCCCTTTCTCTTGGGACGATTGATCGATGCCTCCAGTGGAACGGAAAACGACGGGATGCCATTTATCGCGTTAGTATCGCCACGACACTCCCGGGGATCGATCGACGACGATGATGAAGCGAAGGGGATGATTATTCGTTTCGATTACTCCGTCCAAGTGATCATATTATCGAGACGTGTACATGCGCAGAAAGAGTCAAAGTTCCATTTCTCCTTCCCTTTCTCCCTTCCTCTTCCTCCTCCTCCCCTCTTCGCCCTTCTCGAACAGGTTCAGATCGATCGGAACGTTTTGAGAAACGCGCACGCCAATCGTTTTCGCATAAATGTAGTTAAATCCGCTCGCTACTGTCCTCGGCCGGAGCAATTTTCCCCTCAGAGAAACGTACACCGCTTCTCTAGAGGTCGGACTACCGTGTTAGGCTACCCCGCCGCCCTCTTCGCCCAAAGTTAATTTATCAAACAAACGCGCGAACGCGTCGGGTCAAGCCTGGCAACCCCCGGTTTTAAGACGTCGGCTCGTTAAAGTCATTTGAGGGTGCAGTTCCGCCACCGTCATCGTCGCGCCGAGATCTATCTCTCTCTCTCTCTCTCTCTCTCTCTCTCTCTCTCTTCCCCTCTCTCATTCTTTATCCCGCACGACAAGTCCCGACTTCCTCAGAAGGCGGGCAAATCTTTTTCAATCCCTGTTCTCCGCTACCCCAGCATTGCCACGCGCGCTCACGAGATGACTTTATTAGAAAATGGCTAAGTCCCGAAGCGTCTTAATACACTTCCGGTTTATCTCCCCATCGGCGAAGTACTCTCGCGCCGTCGGAAGTTTGCGTCTTTGTCTGAAAGGACTGTTTCGAAGGGAGAGAAAGAGAGAGAGAGAGAGAGAGAGAAAGAGAAAGGGAAGGAGAAGAAAATATACGTCTTGGAAATTTTCAGGAAATTTGTAACGAATAAAAACTAATTAGAATATTCGAGCGATGGCGCGAACAAACGGCTGGTGGAGCGCGCTCGCTTGCCCTGTAACTCTTTAGAGACCAAACGGAACACTCGCGCGATGTAAAACGACAGAGAGTGCTTTAGCGCGCCCAATTAACGCGGAGATTCTTGTTTACCGCGCGTTAACCGAGCGACGTAGTTTCTAGCGAGACTCTACCAGAACGAGCACAGTCCCCGGTGACTAGCGACAAACTTACGAATTCTTTTTAATTAACGGCTATACGCTTGTAAATGTGGCCCGGTAACGGGGTAACACGGGGCGACATGCTAAATTAATATTCTCTCCTTTTCTTTTTGTTTCAGGATTTTCGCAGTCGAAAGGATCATTCCCGAACACGAGTCCAGGTGAGTTTTCCATCAAGATATATCACAAGTTACACTACGATACTGCACTACGATACTGCTGTGACGTTTTATCGCCGCTAGGAAATACCCATAGGACATTTAATCGACTAGACAGGATGTGATGTTTATGCACATGTTTATCCTACAGGTGATTTTAGTCACTTGATAGAGAAATAAGGCGCGACTGATTGGCGTGAATCGCAATGTCGACGTGCAGGCGAGAAACAACTCGTTTGCTTGCGAGATTGGCTTTTCGGTTAAGCTTTTCGGTTACAAAGCACGAAAGGAAAAGTGTAATATAACAAACGATACTAATTTCGATTTCCCCCAATTCGAGATTCTCGTTCGAAAGTGAATTACTATTAAAGAAACCCGATAAAACACGCGCACGAATAGAAGGGAGAAAGAAGGGGGAATTTAAGAAGAGGGCTCTGACGATCTCGTATATTTTATCGAGACGGAGCGAACGTTTCCCCGCGGAAAATCGTAACTCACGCGGAATTCGACGAGGTAGCGGTAAAAAGACGCAACGATATAACGCTTTTATAACGCAGTAACGAAGCTCTCCTCCGCTCTCGGTTTCGCGTGGCGTGCACGAAAATTCGCCAGTTTCCCTCTCTCCCTCACTCTTCTCTCTTCTGGAGGCGGCGAGTGACTACCAAAATCGTAAACGTGCTCGCGCCGTCGCGTCGAATTTATGACGCTTTTCGGATGCGGGAGCCGTGAAAAATTGATTCGGTGCTTGTTCCACCGCCGCATAATAAAAGCAATATCCTCGAGTCACGTATTCTGCCTACAATGTCACGCAAACGGCGAACTCGCGTCAGTCGATTTTTTCTCAGGCAAACGATTACGTGAGATAATAATTTCGCAGTCGTTAAGCGCAAGGCGGTGAAAAAGGAAAAGAAAAGAAAACAGTGAAAAAGAAAAGAAGGAGAAGAAAAGAGAGAGAGAGAGAGAAAGGAAAGGGAGAGAGAAAAATATATCGGGATTCTTTCCGCGAGGTATATTACTTTCTAGATCACGAGAGGAATGTAAATCTCATCTGCGCACTTTATTAATACGAGAACACGCGCGGGGAAACGGAACTTCTCCGGGAAGAAGTACAATTAGTAGAGCGGCAAGAATGAGCGAGATACGCGGCTATCGTCGCTCTCGTAATTCCTCGGCAAAGAGTTCTCCTGCAGATGCGCGATAACCATTACCGCGCCATATGATGACGTCATGTGCACACCGGGAAGCGAGAAAAAACTGCTTACGTATTCATGCGCGCGATGATTTCGATTTTTCCGAGCCATTAAGCGCGGCCCGTTTGGCCCGCAAAGCGATGTCGCTCGAAACTAGAGACGACAGGTTGAAAATGATTACCGAGTATGAGCTTCCCATGTAATGGGGATGAGCTCCTGCACTCGCATACTATGTGTATCCATTGTCACATTGTACAGTTAAGCGATTGGTTATCGTTAGAGATTCTCGGGTGTCTCTATGGAATACGCGTGCTCCGTTAGCGTTAATCCTCTAACGTTGCTAGTATTTTTCTTGATACTCGCGGAAATTATCGCACCGTTTCTCCGCGTGAGTGTCTGCTCCTCTGCATTTAACATAAAAAGAGCGAGAAGAAGATCGTGTAAAAAATATCGAAATACCGTGTAAAAAAGAGAAATTTCCATTCTTCAAGATTCATCGTCGCTTATAATTTATCCCAAAATTCGTTTCTTTGGAAACACAGGATATGATTCGCTCGAAGAAGCTCTCTCGATGCAAATTTTATCTTGTGGTTGCTCGACTTTTTTCTTCAATTGATTCTCTTCAAATATACAATTATCTGTCTGACCAAGCGCCGTTAATTTTCTGAAAATCAAAGTAGACAGGTAAACTCAATGTTATCGCTTCGACGGATTCGCACGCGTATCCTCATAATTTATCAATCGCGATCAAACAGACACATAACGATCGATTTAACTAATCTAAAAGCGACGCGTGTCTCACACGTCATTTGACCTCCCGTGGAAAGCACAAGGCACCCCGCCGAGGGGTGCGACTCAAGATCCGACAGCAGGCGTGGAGACGCGCTCGAATTTCGAGTAAAGAAAGTTTCCCGTTACCGATTAGCGTTTAAAAGCAGGCAGGGCGTGGTCCGCCAATTCCTCAAAATGTTTTGACGTGAAACGCTATACATCTTGCCGCACAGAGCACATGTCGATTTTGCAGGGGGGTTATGATCGAAAATATCGGAGCGCATACTGCGCGCAGAATTTAAACTTTGCCACTTGATGATTCAATAGAGCGTATGATGACCGAAGACAAAGCATTTGACGTTTCAAGATGGTAGAATAATTGCATCCGGTCGCAGCGCGCGACCATTTCGGACAATCCTGCGGGCCGTGCAGGCCGTCTGCGAGAAGGAAAGCCGCGGGCTCGTCTCTCGCGGAAGGATCGAGCGACGCGCGATAGCTTCTTCCCTTCCTCGTGTTTCCGCGCGTCTCCAATTTTCCAGCAGCCTTTTCGCCGAGTAACGCCGTTGCCGCTCCATCCCCGGGGAAGGGGCGGCAACGCGCGCGAATCCTCCTTTCACTCGCAGGATCCTCCGGTATTTTCCTTTGCCGGTAAATTGGACTATCACGCTCGTAGCTCGTACCTCAGAAGCGCGCGTCTTCTCGCGCGCGCGCGCGCGCGAACACGGCGTATTTTCTCGCCCATTCCTTATTTGGGAGATCCTTCGCGCTATTTTCCGCCTCCACTCCCACCCCCTTTCTCTGTCTCTCTGCCTTTCTGATACGTACCACCTCCTTCTCCCTCTCCTCCCGCACCATCGCCACCACCTTCTTATCCTCCTCCTGCTCCTCCCCCCCTCCCTCATCCCTTTCTCGTTCACGAATCTCAAAGTGCTGCGCAGTTGTTAAAACAACCAATTCCGACGGAAAGCCCCTCGTTACCGGCCCTCGTCTGTCGTTGCCGCGGGCGACTTCTCTAATTTTGATGGAAGACACCTCGCGTCCGCAAAAGAAGACATTCCCGATCCTCGCGGAGACGCGCACGTGCACGTAGATCCACGTAAATATTAGTTCTCGAGAATCATCCGTGCGAGCGAAATGGCCAACTTTCCGTCGAAACCGCGAAATATTCCGCCAACGACAGATCAGTTACTCGTCGCGGTTCAACGCGGAGTTTCGGTCAGAATATATAACGGCTTTCGTTTAAACGTCGACTTTCATTGACTGAAATTGCACTGGTCACATACACGGGCATGGAATGAGGGAAAGAGACAGAGAGGCAGAGAGAGAGAGAGAGAGAGAGAGAGAGAGAGAGAGAGAGAGAGAGGCAGAGAGAGAGAGAGAGAGAGAGAGAGAGAGAGAGAGACAGAGACAGAGAAGCAGAGAGAGAGAGAGAGAGAGAGAGAGAGAGAAAGAGAGAGACGCGTGTTTCGTTTGTATATTTGCACCACACTCACCGGTTCGTATGACTCGCGCGTCAAATGGCACAGCGCACATTCCCAATTACGACGAATCAACAAGAATGATTTTCTGATTATTCACAGTGCTCGATCGCGGCTCGATCGATGATAACGGTAGTTACCACTGTAGATTCTCACTTAAACTTCCGCTCTGTTCCAATCGGATAATACCGAAATGTGCGGCATGTGCGTATCGTTGTATCAAAATACGGGCGCGATCGCGCGAATTTCGTCTCGCCAGGCGTTGATCTGCGCAGGCGCATGCGCAATTATAGCGTCCGTCGCTGTCGTTGCAAACAGCCGAGTACGTTTACCGGTACGCGATGTTTCTCGTTTTCAATATCGTTGTTCACATTCCCGAGCATCGTACACCGACGTGCTCGTGGATCTTCAGCTCGGCCCGCCCGATGCTTGCGAGTGTGTGTGCCTTGTTTTGATCCATCGTGCGTTTTGATCTGTCTGCTATAATCAATCCAAGCCAAGAACGCAATGTTCGTCCGAACTTGTTACTTTATTGTCCGTACCATGTCGCGCTACTACACACTCAAGTCTACCTCGAGTACTTTTCCTCGATTTTCCACGCTGCACAATCTCATCATCCGCGAGATATTCGACGAAGAAAATCGCGTTATTGCAGCCGCAGTACCCGCGATTCGGCGTGTCGTTAACGCTCACCGCGTCCGAAACACGCTGCTGCGCGAGGAGCCCTCGCTTTCAAACGGGCCAGCGATTGTCTCGTCGAGAGGGGCCGCGCGCCACGGAACGCTTAGAGAAGAGAACGCTCCTTCTTTTCCAATGCAATCATCTCGTTTCCTCTCGTATCGATTTCATCGTCCGCCAGAAATTTCCTCCGTGAAAAGAAACGCACGAGACAGCCGCTTGAGGCCGGGGGGCTGGAGGAAAGACCGACGAGCGGGGAATTACGACGCGGGTGACTCGCGAGAGAGGAGGCGGCGAACGACGTCGACGATGTCGACGACGACGACGACAACGACGACAAGGACGACGACGACGACGACGACGAGGAAGAGAGAATAAAGCCCCGGTTTCTATAAACGATTTTGAAATTGTGTGCGTCTCGGCGACCGACCGGGCGAGTAGAAGCCCGGGACAAGGATAGCGGAACAAAAAGGAGGCGGAAGCGCGGGACAACGGTTGGCAGAGCCAGGAAGGGACGGCGAAAATCGAAGTCGCGAGTCGGCGCGAGAGGTGAGCGGCGACGGCGGGGTGGCGATGGCGGCAGCGGTGGCGGTGGTGGTGATGGCACGGGGGACAAACGGGAGAGAAGGTGGCTCGTATTTTTCTTCCATGAAAAATTAAATGCGTTCAGCCGTGAAGGAGCTTGCGCCTGATTACTAGCGCTAGCTCGCTGGGAGCCTCGAGCCGACGTTTTCGATCGCGAACGGCCGTCTTTCCTGAGGAAGGCCCAGCCGAGGCCACGCGTCGAAGTCATCGTGCCGGCGCGAAGATTCGACCGCTCTCGCGATCGTCAGCCGCCTCACAAGAGTGACGAATGATTCCATCTTTCCGGATGATCTCTCTTCCG